TAATAATAATAATAATAATAATAATAATAATAATAATAATAATAAAATCTCTTCTGCTTACTTGCTTGAGACTTCCAATGTGTGGCATGGTAGACTAGGATATGTTAATTTTGAATCTATACGTATATTAAATAACATGGAACACATTTCTAAATTCACAATTGATTTGAAGCACAATTATGAAATTTGTGTAGAGGCAAAACTAACGAAAACATCTTTCAAATCGGTTGAAAGAAAAATGGAACCACTTGAATTAATTCAGTGACGTTTGTGATTTTAAAGCAATACAAATACGTGGCGGTAATAAATATTTTATTACTTTTATCAATGATAGCACTCGCTATAGCTATGTTTATTTGTTGAAAAATAAACACAAAGCAATTGATAAATTCATTCTTTATAAGAATGAAGTGGAAAACCAACTTAATCGACGGATTAAAACGGTTAAAAGTGATCGAGGTTGTAACACCGTCCCCAAATATATTTACTTTCATGTAAATAATGTATTGAACCTTGTTAAAGGATTAATGAATCTACGAGGTTGTAAATTTTTATTATTTCTTTCGCGTGAATAGTAAATTGCACGTGGGACCCACACCGGGAGCGGGGGCCGCCCGACTTTCCCGAGACCATATATTTTATTCATCTTGGTCTAGATAATAAATATATAGTGGTGGATATTTCATTTGGGCTATGGAAAAGCCCAGAGTAGACCGGTTGGCCAAAAGCAGCCCAAATTACCGGTACTGGTAATTTAACAGATAACAGCCCGGAAATGAATTTCGGAGGCTTATAAATTAAAGTTGGGGAATGTATATTCATTATACATGTCATAATGAGTAAGAGCACATAATATATTTTATTTGACCCGATAAAATAAAATATATTTAAAACAGTCCGAAAAATACAACTTTCGGGACAAATTGTGCACTTTGGGACAAAAAGGGTTGACCTCCCACTTGGGTGGGGGCCAACCCACGACTTTGGTCACCCAAATTGATAGCTTGGCCGGCTGGATGTGTGAGAATAGCATGTGAGTGGTGTGTGAAGTGAAGGAAAGAGCATCAAACAAAATAAGGTGGATCCCATCCACACTTATTTGTTTAATGAGACAAAGGGTTACCCTCACCCCTCCCTCTACCTCATTCTCGGCCAAGAGACATCCAGCAAGAGCAAGAAATCCATCATCCTTCATTCTCCATTGTTGAAGAGAGCTCAACAAGAAGGAATCCCAAGAAAAGGGGCTAGGGTGCTAAAAATGTGAAAAGATTAAGGTAATGACCTTATTATAACTTCTTCTCTATTTTTCTTCTACCTTATGAGATACATATCATGTGAAGAATCCTTAAGAGGGTTCTACATGTTATAAGTATGGATTAATGGATTGGAAAGTGAGTCTATGTCCAAGAACGGACTTAAAAGCCAAAACGACCGGTTCACCGGAAAATAACCTTTTATAGGTTATTTGTATTGATTAAGGTTTTATGATGTTAAAACCTTGTTAGGAACTTGTAAAGGGTATTTCAAGTGATTTCACAAAGTTGGAAAAGTCGCCGGAGTTGCCGCCGGAGTTGACCGAAAGTCGCCGGAGTTTCACCGGAGTTCAACCAAGAAGGGTAGAACTTCATAACGCTAGTTCAAGGTGAGTGGACGGCTTAATATCTTATAACTTTTGGGTTAATTATGAGATTACCTAAATAAATGTTATATGTGTTCATAATGATGTTTAAAAGATATTTAAACATGTGATTAGCCAACATTATTAAGTTGTATGAAAAGAATTAATTGTTTATGCATGAAATATGATATGAGGAATTATATAAAATGCATATTAGCTTGAAGTATAAAAGAAGCACAAATGAGTATTATTAACTTAATCATATGGTGATTAAGTCGATATGTACAAGGCTTGAATTAGCGGTCAACGACAACGTTGACCGATGAATGATGGATTAATTAATATCGGTTGATGTTAGTTAATTATACATTTATATAAATGCATGGCTTTGCATGGATTGTGATACATAAGATTTATGTATTGGATTAGTTATGAGTAACTAAGGATGATATAGACTCTATCTAGGTTGATAGGAGGTTGATCATAGGAAAACTTGGTGGAGGACCCTAGTACTTAAAAAGTACTTAACACTCAAACTTGGTGGAGGACCCTAGTACTTAAAAAGTACTTAACACTCAAACTTGGTGGAGGACCCTAGGACTTAAAGTCCTTAACACTCAAACTTGGTGGAGGACCCTAGTACTTAAAAAGTACTTAACACTCAAACTTGGTGGAGGACCCTAGTACTTAAAAGTACTTAACACTCAAAACTTGGTGGAGGACCCTAGGACTTAAAGTCCTTAACACTCAAACATGGTGGAGGACCCTAGTACTAAAAAGTACTTAACACTCAAAACTTGGTGGAGGACCCTAGGACTTATGAGTCCTTAACACTCACAAACCGGTGGAGTATCCAAGGATTATGATCCTAAAACTCATAGATTATGATATACAAATAGGGACAAGGAGGAGTCCTATACACTCATAGGTATATGGGTGGGTTGGGGTTTTTGGTCAAGAATATTGACTATTACTATTTTTCCCAAATGAACGGTGATCTACGGATCGGATATTTTTCCAAGTATAAATATACTAATAAGTATTTCATAACTTGGGGGAAAGACTATTTATTTAAGTATCACCCTATGTTTGGGTCTTATACTTGAAACGCTAGTTATTCTATATTTAGCCTGCTACTCGCTCGGTACTTGTACTGACCCCTTCGGGGGCCCCCACCATTTTCAGGTTGAAGCTAGGGCTTGCTACTTGCACCTTCTCACGGGTGATATCAAATCAGGGAGACGTGGTTCGTGCTTCCTTATTTTCTTTCAAACTACCGAACACTTGCTCATGGATATTTGTTCTACTATAAACTATTTTTGGGGCTTGCATGCCCATGTTGTTGGCCGGTTGTGGCTTATGACTTACCGTTGAATATTTCCGCTATTCATTGGTTTAAATGTGATGTTGTTATGTATGTTTACTACTGAGTATGGATGGATTGTTTTCTCGAACGCCTTGTGTAATTAAGTGGGGTTGACTCGCGGGTGACGCCACCTAATTATACGGCGGTTGTACACGCGCTTGGATTTCGGTCTGGGGCGTGACAATTAAGTGGTATCAGAGCCATCTCAGTTCTAAACTATATAATCAACCTCTCACAAAAGATTTTTGCAAAAGAGTTTTACCGAAAACCATGAGCATTGTATTTTGACGTTTATAGGACTATTGGTGCTTAAGTTGCAAGGCCTCTAATTGTTAAGACGGTACCCTTAACAATTGGTATGGTAGTGACTTGGGCCAATACGTGTCTGTAACGTTCTTCCGTCAATTGACATTTATTGGAGTCTAATGGCTCATCCATATTTCTTTCAGAAATGGAGGGCAGGCGAATGGCAACCAGGAACAATCCGAGAGGGCGGGCGCCGGTAGCGTCCCAAAGGGGAAGCCGGGCTGCATCTCGGGGTTCAAGAGGAGGCCGTGGAGGCCGTGGAAGCCGTGGAGGTCATCAAGCTCAAACTGTGAGTGATGGCCATGTAAGCTCGGTGTATGAAACCAACACCGAGGACTATGACTCAACCTACGTTCCAGAAACGGAGCATGAGGAGACCCCGTATGATGGGGGGGATACATACACCGATGATGACGATGAGAGTGATGCCCGGTTCGCCCAAATGGGTGAATTACTTGAGTGGTATCAAAAAGAGAAACTGAGGAGAGACCTTAGGCGCCAAGCGAGGCGTGGCTCTCGGGGGGGTTCGGGTCAAGGAAGCCGGGGAGCTTCCGTGGCCACCCCAGCGGCGTCACAAGGTGGGCGTGAAGGAGGTTTTGTTGTGAGAATCTCCAAGTACCTCAAGGAGGCTAGGGCCTTGGGGTGTAGGTCCTTTGACGGCACCGGTGACATTACCGTTGCCGCCGATTGGATTAAGAAGGTGAAGGATGCATCAAGGGACATGCAAATCACACCGGACGTGAAGTTGACTGTCGCTTCACGGCTACTTGAAGGGATAGCTTCTACGTGGTGGGAGAGCGTGGAAGGGAAGTACCATGGGGAAATAACATGGGCGGACTTTGAGCTAGAGTTCTATGCTCAATACTACTCCGAGTACGAGGTGAATGTGAAACGGAGAGAGTACACTAACCTTAAACAGAAAGAGGGCGGCACAGTTAAGCAGCTGGAACAAGAGTTTAGAACCTTGGCTAGGTTCTTACCAGAGTACGCGGTTGATGAGAACCGTATGACGGAGCACTTTTGGGATGCCTTACTCTTGGACATTCGTGATCGGGCTACGTACTCGCGCCACATGACCTTTAGCGAGGTGGTGGAGCAGGGCCTTCTTGGGGAGGCCCAATGGAATGAAAGAAAAGAGAGGGACGCCGAAGAGGCGAAAAAGAGGAAATGGCATGGTTCGGGGCCGCCCGAGCAGGCACGGAGGGATAAACACGGCGGAGGTGGGGGTTCGTTCAAAACACCGGCACCACCGGCAAAGAAGAACAGGGATGCTCGGTGGCATGCATCCTCCTCTCAAAAGACGGGGCCCCCTAGGTGTGCCAATTGTTCGAAAAATCACTTTGGGAAATGCAACGCACCCCCGAGGTGTTATCAATGTGGGAACACGGGCCACATGAAGGCCAATTGCCCACAACTAGGAGGAGGAGGAGCTCCGGGATCCGGAGGAGGAACCACGACGGGAAGGAACCGTGCGGGGCCGTCAAACGGCGGCACGGGGAGAGGCGGCGCATCAACGAGCCATGCCGCGTCCGTCAACCAAGGCGGGGCCCAAGCACGAGTATATGCTATGACCGAGGCCGATGCTCGGGCTAACCCCGACTCCGTCGCAGGTAATACACTTATTCTGGGCATTTCTAGGCTTACTTTGATCATATACGTCGTTGGGATTGAGTGCGGGCCACCCCGGGGTCAAACTCGGGCAAGTTAGGCCAAAGCAGCTGAAGACAGCCACTGCCGGCCAGGCACGGTCGCAGGCACGCCGTGCGTGGCACCGTGCCTGGAAGGCAGTCTCACCCCGAAGAAAATTCAGCCAGGCACGGTCGCAGGCACGCCGTGCGTGGCACCGTGCCTGGAAGGCAGTCTCACCCCGGAGAAAAAATCAGCCAGGCACGGTCGCAGGCACGCCGTGCGTGGCACCGTGCCTGGAAGGCAGTCTCGCCCCGAAGGAATTCGGCCAGGCACGGCCGCAGGCACGCCGTGCCAGGCACCGTGCCTGGGAGGCAGTGTTGAGCAGGAAGGGTCCGATGCACGCACGGCCGTGCGTGCCACCCAGGCACGCCGTGCGTGGACCCCAGAACCCGGAAATCGGATTTTTCCGCCCCGTTCTTCTACGTTTGGACCCCCGTTCGATTCCAAACATTAGTATGAACCTAATAACCTTCCAAAGATGTGTAAAAACATTAGAAGATGTATCTCACATGGTGTATAAATGTAGGAACATTAAAGATCAATGGTAGGTGTGCGAGGATCCTCATCGATACCGGGGCACAACGCTCATTTGTGAGTGAGGCGTTCGCCGAGGGCATTGACGTGCCATTGACACCTATGACGCAAACGTTGCTAGTCTCCACACCGTTAGGAGACGACGTGGAGAGGAATCATTACTATCCGTCGTGTGAGGTAGAAGTGACGGGTCAACCTTTGACTTGTGATTTCGTACCTCTAAGCATGTTGGAGTTCGATGCAATCCTAGGAATGGATTGGCTTGAGAAGCACCATGCTCGAGTAGATTGCTACACCAAGGTGTTGGAGCTCGAGGATGAGCAAGGGAACATGCTACGTTTTGAAGGAGATCGGGGGAAATCTAATGCTTGTATCATATCCGTGATGAGAGCACGAAAGATGATGAGGAAGGGATGCCACGCATACCTTGCTTACGTGGTAGATGATACGAAGAAAGAAGTCGACATCAAGGATGTTCGAGTCGTGTGCAAGTACCCGGACGTCTTTCCCAAGGACCTACCGGGGCTTCCACCCGATAGAGAGATCGAATTTGTAATCGAAGTGGAGCCGGGAACCAAACCCATTTCGATTCCTCCTTATCGAATGGCACCGGCCGAACTTCAAGAGTTTAAGGTCCAGCTACAAGAACTATTGGACAACGGGTTCATCAGACCCAGTCATTCACCGTGGGGAGCACCCGTACTATTCGTAAAGAAGAAAGATGGTACACTAAGAATGTGTATCGACTACCGACAGTTGAACAAGGTCACCATCAAGAACAGGTATCCCTTACCGAGGATTGATGACTTGTTCGATCAACTTCGAGGAGCAATAGTGTTCTCGAAGATTGACTTGAGGTCGGGGTATCATCAGTTGAAGATCAAGGAGAGTGACATACCTAAAAGTGCATTTCGCACTAGATATGGTCATTATGAATTCCTTGTGATGTCGTTTGGTTTAACCAACGCACCGGCGGCATTCATGGACTTGATGAACCGTGTGTTTAGTGAATACTTAGACCAATTTGTGATAGTATTCATTGACGACATCTTGATATACTCCAAGAGCGAGGAAGAGCACGAACACCATTTGGGGCTTGTACTTGATCGGCTAAGGGAAAAGCAACTCTTCGCCAAGTTCTCCAAATGCGAATTTTGGCTCAAAGAGATTGGTTTCCTCGGTCATGTCATATCCGGTTCAGGTGTTGCTGTGGATAACGCCAAGATAAAAGCGATCATGGATTGGGAGAGACCCAAGAATGCGAAGGAGATACGTAGTTTCCTTGGCTTAGCGGGATACTATCGTAAATTTGTGGAAAAATTCTCCGTATTGGCGTCCCCATTAACGAAGCTCACAAAGAAAGGGGCCAAGTTCATATGGGACGACAAATGTGAGAAGGGGTTCCTTGAATTGAAGAAACGACTTACCGAAGCACCAGTCCTTGCCCTACCCATACAAAGGATAGGGTATGACATTTATAGCGACGCTAGCATCCAAGGGCTTGGATGTGTACTGATGCAAAACGGTAAGGTGATTGCCTATGCTTCTAGGCAATTGAGGAAACACGAGGTGAACTACCCTACTCACGATCTAGAGTTGGGGGCGGTAGTGTTTGCATTGAAGATTTGGAGGCATTATCTCTACGGGGAGACGTGTCACATTTATACTGATCATAAGAGCCTGAAGTATGTATTCACTCAGAGAGAGTTGAATATGAGGCAGAGGAGATGGATGGAGTTGATCAAGGACTATGACTTGATCATCGACTATCATCCCGGAAAGGCCAATGTAGTGGCCGACGCACTGAGTAGGAAGAGTACGTCGGGGACGCTACTCACATGTCTACAGGCATTGAGGGCGCACGTGGAGGTATCCACGAGCGGGGCGCTCATTGCTAGGTTTGAGGTCAGACCTACATTGCTGGGTGAGATCAGTAGATGTCAGGCCATTGACGAGGAGTGTCAGAAGATTCGTGAACGAATCATTGAGGGGCCTGTTGAGAACTTTCGAGTACGTGACGATGGTCTATTATTGTTTAAGGATCGTGTGTGCATACCAAAGAAGGAAGACCTCCAGAAGTCTATACTTGAGGAGGCTCATTCTTCAGCTTATGCTATGCATCCAGGAGGCACTAAGATGTACCGGGACCTGAAGGAAAGTTACTGGTGGTCGGGTATGAAGAGAGACATCGCCGAGTATGTGAGTCGATGCCTTACTTGTCAGCAAGTTAAGGCAGAACACCAGCACCCGGCAGGACTCTTACAACCACTCACCATCCCGGAATGGAAGTGGGAACACGTGACCATGGACTTCGTGGTGGGGCTACCACGAACGGTGAACAACTATGATGCAGTATGGGTAGTGGTTGATAGGCTCACCAAGAGTGCACACTTTCTGCCTATCAACATTACTTATCCTCTTGAAAGATTGGCCAAGCTATATACAGAGGAGATTGTGAGATTACATGGAGTCCCAATATCCATTGTCTCGGATAGGGATCCACGATTCACATCCCGATTTTGGCCAAAGTTTCAGGCATCTTTGGGAACTAAACTGAAGTTTAGCACAGCTTTTCACCCACAGACCGATGGACAGTCCGAGCGGGTGATACAGATTTTGGAAGACATGCTTAGGGCAAGTGCGTTGGAGTTCCAAGGAAGTTGGGACAAACATTTGGCCCTAGTGGAGTTTGCCTATAACAACAGTTATCAGGCAAGTATCGGCATGCCCCCATATGAGGCATTGTATGGGAGGAAGTGCAGAACACCGTTGTGTTGGGACGAGGTTGGCGAGGCCAAACTCGAAGGGATAGAGCTGGTTGAGATCACCAAGGCCAAGGTAAGGATCATTCGGGATAGATTGAAGGCTGCTCAGGACCGACAGAAGAGTTATGCTGATAAACGGCGGAGACCGTTGGAGTTCGAAGTCGGTGATGAGGTCTTCCTAAGGATTTCTCCTTGGAAGGGCATCATTCGATTTGTATCAAGAGGAAAGCTTAACCCCCGATACATTGGTCCATTTGAGATCCTTGAAAGGATTGGAGCCGTGGCTTATCGTCTCAAGTTAACGCCGGAACTTGAGAAGATACATGATGTGTTTCATGTATCAATGCTCAAGAAGTACATACGAGACCCATCTCATATTCTTGAGAAACCACCGGTGGAGATCCGAGAGGACTTGCATTATGCGGTGGAACCAGTGAAGATTGTTGGTCAACAAGTGAAGAAGCTTAGGAATAAGGAGATTCCTATGGTAAAGGTCCTTTGGAGGAGTGATCGAGTCGAAGAAGAAACTTGGGAGACCGAGGTCTCAATGAGGGAGCAATACCCATTTCTTTTCGATTAGATACTTGGATTTCGGGGACGAAATCCCAAATAAGGGGGGGTGAACTTGTAACACCGTCCCCAAATATATTTACTTTCATGTAAATAATGTATTGAACCTTATTAAAGGATTAATGAATCTACGAGGTTGTAAATTTTTATTATTTCTTTCGCGTGAATAGTAAATTGCACGTGGGACCCACACCGGGAGCGGGGGCCGCCCGACTTTCCCGAGACCATATATTTTATTCATCTTGGTCTAGATAATAAATATATAGTGGTGGATATTTCATTTGGGCTATGGAAAAGCCCAGAGTAGACCGGTTGGCCAAAAGCAGCCCAAATTACCGGTACTGGTAATTTAACAGATAACAGCCCGGAAATGAATTTCGGAGGCTTATAAATTAAAGTTGGGGAATGTATATTCATTATACATGTCATAATGAGTAAGAGCACATAATATATTTTATTTGACCCGATAAAATAAAATATATTTAAAACAGTCCGAAAAATACAACTTTCGGGACAAATTGTGCACTTTGGGACAAAAAGGGTTGACCTCCCACTTGGGTGGGGGCCAACCCACGACTTTGGTCACCCAAATTGATAGCTTGGCCGGCTGGATGTGTGAGAATAGCATGTGAGTGGTGTGTGAAGTGAAGGAAAGAGCATCAAACAAAATAAGGTGGATCCCATCCACACTTATTTGTTTAATGAGACAAAGGGTTACCCTCACCCCTCCCTCTACCTCATTCTCGGCCAAGAGACATCCAGCAAGAGCAAGAAATCCATCATCCTTCATTCTCCATTGTTGAAGAGAGCTCAACAAGAAGGAATCCCAAGAAAAGGGGCTAGGGTGCTAAAAGTGTGAAAAGATTAAGGTAATGACCTTATTATAACTTCTTCTCTATTTTTCTTCTACCTTATGAGATACATATCATGTGAAGAATCCTTAATAGGGTTCTACATGTTATAAGTATGGATTAATGGATTGGAAAGTGAGTCTATGTCCAAGAACGGACTTAAAAGCCAAAACGACCGGTTCACCGGAAAATAACCTTTTATAGGTTATTTGTATTGATTAAGGTTTTATGATGTTAAAACCTTGTTAGGAACTTGTAAAGGGTATTTCAAGTGATTTCACAAAGTTGGAAAAGTCGCCGGAGTTGCCGCCGGAGTTGACCGAAAGTCGCCGGAGTTTCACCGGAGTTCAACCAAGAAGGGTAGAACTTCATAACGCTAGTTCAAGGTGAGTGGACGGCTTAATATCTTATAACTTTTGGGTTAATTATGAGATTACCTAAATAAATGTTATATGTGTTCATAATGATGTTTAAAAGATATTTAAACATGTGATTAGCCAACATTATTAAGTTGTATGAAAAGAATTAATTGTTTATGCATGAAATATGATATGAGGAATTATATAAAATGCATATTAGCTTGAAGTATAAAAGAAGCACAAATGAGTATTATTAACTTAATCATATGGTGATTAAGTCGATATGTACAAGGCTTGAATTAGCGGTCAACGACAACGTTGACCGATGAATGATGGATTAATTAATATCGGTTGATGTTAGTTAATTATACATTTATATAAATGCATGGCTTTGCATGGATTGTGATACATAAGATTTATGTATTGGATTAGTTATGAGTAACTAAGGATGATATAGACTCTATCTAGGTTGATAGGAGGTTGATCATAGGAAAACTTGGTGGAGGACCCTAGTACTTAAAAAGTACTTAACACTCAAACTTGGTGGAGGACCCTAGTACTTAAAAAGTACTTAACACTCAAACTTGGTGGAGGACCCTAGGACTTAAAGTCCTTAACACTCAAACTTGGTGGAGGACCCTAGTACTTAAAAAGTACTTAACACTCAAACTTGGTGGAGGACCCTAGTACTTAAAAGTACTTAACACTCAAAACTTGGTGGAGGACCCTAGGACTTAAAGTCCTTAACACTCAAACATGGTGGAGGACCCTAGTACTAAAAAGTACTTAACACTCAAAACTTGGTGGAGGACCCTAGGACTTATGAGTCCTTAACACTCACAAACCGGTGGAGTATCCAAGGATTATGATCCTAAAACTCATAGATTATGATATACAAATAGGGACAAGGAGGAGTCCTATACACTCATAGGTATATGGGTGGGTTGGGGTTTTTGGTCAAGAATATTGACTATTACTATTTTTCCCAAATGAACGGTGATCTACGGATCGGATATTTTTCCAAGTATAAATATACTAATAAGTATTTCATAACTTGGGGGAAAGACTATTTATTTAAGTATCACCCTATGTTTGGGTCTTATACTTGAAACGCTAGTTATTCTATATTTAGCCTGCTACTCGCTCGGTACTTGTACTGACCCCTTCGGGGGCCCCCACCATTTTCAGGTTGAAGCTAGGGCTTGCTACTTGCACCTTCTCACGGGTGATATCAAATCAGGGAGACGTGGTTCGTGCTTCCTTATTTTCTTTCAAACTACCGAACACTTGCTCATGGATATTTGTTCTACTATAAACTATTTTTGGGGCTTGCATGCCCATGTTGTTGGCCGGTTGTGGCTTATGACTTACCGTTGAATATTTCCGCTATTCATTGGTTTAAATGTGATGTTGTTATGTATGTTTACTACTGAGTATGGATGGATTGTTTTCTCGAACGCCTTGTGTAATTAAGTGGGGTTGACTCGCGGGTGACGCCACCTAATTATACGGCGGTTGTACACGCGCTTGGATTTCGGTCTGGGGCGTGACAGAGGTGGTGAGTATGAAGCATCAATTGGAGACTTTTGCGCGAGCGTGGGTATAGTACATGAACGTACCGCACCCTATTCACCTCAATCAAATGGTTTTGCCGAATGAAAGAATCGCACATTGAAAGATATGATGAATGCGATGATAGTAAGTTCGGGTTTGCCACAAAATATGTGGGGTGAAGCAGTCTTGTCAAACAATTACCTTTTAAATAAGGTTCCCCGGAAAAAATCTGATAAAACCCCGTACGAGTTGTGGAAAGGTTGAAAACATTCATATCAATATTTTAAAGTGTGTTGGTGTCTTGCAAAAGTACTTATACCAACACCTAAGAAAATAATAATAGGTCCAAAACGGTGGATTGTATTTTTATTGGATATGCAAAAAAATAGTAGTGCTTATCGGTTTTTAGTGTATGATTCGAATAATCCGGATGTACATAAAAACACAATAATTGGATCAATGAATGCATCATTCTTTCAAGACGTATTTCCATGCAAGTCCAACGAAGGACCGAGCACGTCAAAACGAACCCTTGACATAGCTATGGTAAATACAAGTGATGGGTCCGGAGAAGAAGCCGAACCGGACGTAGCAAACGTGCTAGAATTGAAAAATCCTTCGGGCCAGATTTTCTCACCTACTTGGTAGAATTTGACTCGGATATTCTAACATGTGTGGTAGAAAATGAACCAGATTTTCTAACATGTTTGGTAGAAAATGAGCCCCAGACTTATACGGAAGCTGTGACGTCTGCCAAAGGTCCTTTGTGGAAAGAAGCCATCAAAAGTGAGGTGGATTCTATCCTACAAAATCACATGTGGGAATTGGTTGATCTTCCTGGATGTAAACCTTTGGATCCAAGTGGATTTTTAAACGGAAAATGATACCTGGCGGTTCCATTGACAGGTACAAGGCCAGACATGTAATCAAGGGATACAAGCGGAAGGTCATGACTACTTTGACACGTATACTCCTATGATGAGAATAAATTCCATTAGAATGATACTAGCAATTGCCGCATTGCGGAAATTGGAGGTTCATTAAATGAACGTAAAAACAGCTTTTTAAATGGAAATATAGACGAATAAATCTATATGGAACAACCCGAAGGCTTTCGTGTTCCTGCCCAAGAAAGGAAAGCATGTAAATTAATTAAGTCATTGTATGGATTGAAACAAGCTCCTAAACCGTGGCACAAAAATTTCGATCATGCAATGTTAAGTAATAGGTTTAAAATAAACGAAAGTGACAAATGCGTTTATGTGATGAGCACAGTAGACGGCTATGTCATTTTGTGTTTATACGTGGATGATATACTCATCGTGGGTAGTAATAATCTAAATATCTAATGATTAATTCTACAAAAAGCATGTTCAATTCTAAATTTGACATGAAGGATAAGGGGTTGACCGATTTAATATCCTTGACATTAAAATAATTAGGGGACCATATGGTCTTGTGCTAAGCCAATCCCATCACGTTGATAAAATCCTTACTAAATTTAATTAGGATGATTATCAAGAGGCAAGGACAACATTAGACAAAAACGTACACCTGTCCAAAAATCGTGGAGAGTGTATTTCTTAAGTAGATATACTAGCAACCCCGGAGACGAACACTGAAAGGCAATAGTAAGAGTTTTGAGGTATTTATGAAAAACCCAAAACCTTGGACTACACTATGCTAGATATCCAGCTATACTTGATGGGTATAGCGACGCTAGTTGGATATTTGACATTAAGGACTCAAAGCCCACAAGTGGATATGTTTTCACTTTGGGAGGTGCAATCATGTCATGAAAATCCTCAAAACAAATGGTAATAGCTAGATCCACGATGGATTCTGAGCTAATAGCCTTGGATAAGTGCACTGAAGAGGTTGAATGGTTACGCCATTTTCTCGAGGATATTCCAAGTTGGGAAAAGTATGTCCCTCCAATATGCATACAGTGTGATTGTCAAGCGGCAATAGGAAGGGTACAGAGTAACATGTACAATGGTAAGTCTAGACACGTTCGTTGTAGACATAACACCATTAAACAACTTCTCAAAACAGGTGTTATCACTTTTGACTACGTGATGTCAAAGGATAACATAATGGAACCGCTAACCAAGGAATTAGATAGAGAATTGTTGGAGAAGTTGTCACGAGGAATGGGACTAAAGCCCGTAATTTGAAAAGTTCTATAGTGGAAACCTAACCTAGTTGGTCCTTAGTTCAAAAGGGATAACTAAATTATAGAGCGAACGATGATCACTGTGGGGGTCCCGGACTCCTACCCACTCCTCGTTGAAACAGTGACTCCCGTGCGAGGTTAGCAAAAATGTTTGCTTCAATGATTCTGAAATGTTGATCTGCTTGATAACATTGGAAGAGTATGCGGGATACTCGTGAAAGAATCACCTACGTGAGAGAGAAGATGGTCGCTTCATAGGAGAACTGTATAGGCTCAATTCTTTAGAAACTCATGCAGAACCAGGATGGTGCCTGATGGATAGTGTGCCCGGGGGGTAGCTTATCTGAGGGGTTATTGCGGGGAATAACCTAGAGAGAAGTCAGAGCAAGCAAGTAAGAGAGAGAGAGAGCCAAGTATAATAAATGAACTTGTTCTGGGATCTTTACAAGAGGAATAGGGGCTGCTATTTATAGCAGCCAAAAATGCGATGAGAGTACACGTGTCAACAATCTAACGGTCGAGGGGTCACCTCAATCGGGGTGGCACCAGCACTCGCATGTGCACCGCATTAAATGCGGTGGTTGGATGTGACGCCGCATTAAATGCGGTGGTTGATTGTCTCCAAAGGGAATCTTCGATGATTGAGCTGTTAGCCGAAGGCTCCCCCGTAGCCGGGGGCTCTCTGCAGCCGAAGGCTTGACATAGCCGAAGGCAACTTTTATGCCGAGGGCATGAAGATGTCGAAGGCTGTTAAATCTGCCATTTTCTCCCAGTAGCTTTGTATGCTCAAATCCTGCTGTTCTGTGGAATTAGGAGCCTTCGGCCATGGTGCTGAAGGCATCTATCCTCGGGCGCACCGTGGACCCCTCCGAGCCTGGGCCGCGGTGCTTTGGGCTCCATGTGCTTCCTGGGCCTGTTGGGCCTGTGTTGGAGTAGCAGGAGTCTGTGGGCCGGGGGTTCCCGGGCCATATACTCCATTAATGCCCATGGCCAAAACGGGCACACCCATGAGAACTAGAACAAAGTTGGAAGGTTCCCGTGTAAAGATAAGTCAATGTTTACACGACGGCAGTATAGTTCAAGGACATCGAGTCTACCAGACAGCCAGTAAATAAACGTGTCTTTACAACAGGAGGTTCAAAGGATAAAACTTACCTCTCCCTATGCAGGGATCATCCGGTGAACACAACGTGTCATCCTATCTTCGTGTCTTTTTCAAGTCTCGAAAATCAATTTTCATTCATGTGGGGGATTGTTGGAATCGTGTTAAAAATTGCATTAAATGGTCAATTTTGGACAATATTTGAGTGGGGTCCACTTCTGATTTGGGTCGGGTCAAAGTGGTTTCGGATTTCCCTTGTTAAGGGTTACAATTTCATGTGTAGTACACTCAAAACGGATAACGACTGAATGAGAAATTGATTCTCGAAGTTCACTCGTCGAAATGGAGAAAATAGGAAAATGATGGGTTTCTAGTGTGTTATTTCCCACACCGGAAAACCGAAGGGATTTTCATCTCCTTATAAAGGGAACCCTCTTTGGAGGAGTTAAGATTCTTAAGTGGAAAGACTCTCTTTGAAGGAGTCAAAGAAGAGAAGGTTTAATTTTTGTTTCTTCCCGTATTGTTCCCATTTTGCTCCAGGTGCAGCTCCATTGGGAGGAGGCTGCTGCTCCATGTTGAACGACCAATAGGAGGCTACTGCTGAACTGAAATGTTACTGTAACACTCCCAAATTTCCCACCCGAAAATACCTTTAAATAATAATTTATTCAAAAGAAATATTATCTTTATTTAAAATTATCAGAATTGTGCAACGAAAAATTCAAAGGGAAATAGAGGTGTTACGGCCACACTCGGCTCACCCTTAACCAAGTGCACAGGCTAAAATAATTTAACTCCAAAAACAATTATTAACTAAAGATATTAAAAATACAATTACAATGATGTACTAATTATATTTTCTAGCGGAAGCTCTCTCGAAATCAACTTCATCTTCAAATCATCACTTGTACAAATCAAGTATAGAAAAAAAAAACACAAAGAAACAAAAATTAGCCGGAAATGCTAGTAAGTCCCGCCCAACCCCGTAAAATAATATAATTTGATACATATATATAATTTTGTAAAACATTTTGGAATCTTTTCAAAACACTTTATATAAATCATAAGTAAAACAACACTTATAAAATATTCTCATAGCACAATTCATATGTAGAATAACAATATTTCAAATATAAGTACATATTTCAAACCATAATAATTCCAAAATACCAATGTACATAAACCACCAAATATTATCACAATTATTCGAAAGCACAAATCAAACACCAAATATTCATCTCAAAATACTTATAAATACTTATAAAGGATATTCAACATAATCAAACCAAATCAAATCCAAAAGTATTTATACTCTAAAAATGCACAAAAATTTAATAACTCAATCCACCTCAATTCCATCCAATCCAACAAATATAATCTAATCAAATAATTCACTCCAATATAATGTAATTCTATTCACCTCAAACTCAATCAAGCCCAATCAATTAATCCAAATCACCTCAAGTCCAATGAAATTCACCTCAAAATCATTCAAATCCAATCGAAGCCGAACTCCTACCTTAAGTGTGTGCACCCCCTAAAAGGAATTCCAAATCCTTCGGGTAGGAAGAAGCCCGAGTAGTCGGGATTTTACTA